CGTTTGTTAAATAAAAAATATGTATAATCACATATAATATAATATGTAATTATAGAATATAATCGCAACTTTATTTTTTGTAAAGAAAAACAATACAAAAGTTTCCTAATCTTTTTTTGCAGTTATTTATCTATTTTTTTATATATATGAACAGAGATAATACAAGAGAATATATATATATATATATTTATATTTAATTATGTATAAATATTTCTTACCGGGTTATTTTAAAATTTATAAATTAATGCTTCAATGCTGCAATTAATTAAATAGTTATTGGACGGCAATTAGATATTCGATCGAAAATTAGTCTTGTCGTGATAAGTTATAATACATCAGTTTTCCTACACGCAATATTTACTCTCACTTGAAAAGTGTTACTTCGTCACTGGTGACTGGAGTAGAAGAGTACGGGAGACGACGCGCGACCCGAAGCGCAGAGTAGCTCGGGATAATCGCTGAGGCAGGCGCACCGCTGGCTTGTGTCCAAGTAGTAGTGAGTAGTGCCTCTATCGGCATCAACGAGCAGTATAGTGGCAGAGACTGTACCATCACCTCCACTCAAATGCAATCGACGGCAATAGATAGTAATAGAAGTACGGTGGTTGAACAATTTACAAGTTTTTCGGTTGTTTCACAGCTTCTCTTCTTGTGTCACTCTGTCACTTGACTGATAGCTGCGTGATATATTAGTAACGATGAAGTGATCATTTCTGCCCAGATAACCAAAGGTTTGTTATTTGCCATGTTTTTTCATATATTTTCTTTCTTCTTTTGTCGAACGTTCTTCGTTATTCAAGTATCCGAATCCTAATACGATATATCCGAGAAGTAAAAATGTCATGCACCCTCGCATTTGTACCCTAACGCGCGCAATTGTGCCATAGCTTAATCGATAAGCACACACAAGGTGTCGATTGCAGCGCCCGGTGGAAAAAGTGGTAGTTAATATTATTGCTATCTATCTAACTATCATCATCAACGTTGTCATTATTGTTGTTATCATTGTCGTCATTATTGTCACCATCGTCATCAATGACATTGTCCTCATTATTGTTGTCATCGTAATTGTTTCGTCACTGACATCGCTATCGCCATCGTTGCCATCGTCGCCATTATTATCATTCTTGTCGTCATCATCATTGCTGTCGTCATTATTATTGAAAACGTTGTCGTCATCTTCATTGGTATCGTCGCGCTGTTATTGCCATTGTTTTCGTCATCATATCATTATTGTCATTCACGTCATTATTCACATCATTCATTATCATTATCATTATCATTATCATTATCATTATCATCGTTATAGATATCTTCGTTCTGATTACTATTGTTCGTTACTATTAATCATCAATTATTATCGCAGATATTGTGATCGTGTCAGGGCAGCGTGACGAGATGCGACCTTCTAATGCAATGCACGACGACGGGTTTCTTCGACCAAACGGCGGTCATATTTGAAGTTGAAGGAAGAGAAAGGTGAGTAAGAGTAGATATACATATACATACGTACGGAGATCAATGCTTTCAATGCTACTCGCTTTGCATACATCTTTCGTCTATTTCTGTATAGTAATACGGTATATCATTACAGTCGATCATGACATTGACATGATTGTCGAAAATATTTCCTAAAATCGATATCCATATAATTCGATTGTGACCCTATTCTCGTATGTCGCCCCGACTATTAGCTAATCATCTTTCATCATTGTATTGTTTATATATTTTCTTAAAATATGCGTATTATTCCAAAATCAGTTTTAAAGGTTCAGTTTTAATACTACTCAATTGAGAATCAATTGTTTAAAAAGTTTGTACTGAAATTATTTTCTTATAATTGTTTAGTAGTGATTTGAAATTGGACTTATGCATACATAGAATAAAAAGAAACATAAGATAAAACTAAAAAAAAAAATGTTTAGAACTCAAAAAATAAAAATATATCATATCAATGCGGGCTAAATTATTCAGTTTTAGTATCATATGAAAATGCTTATCGTTATATTTGCGATTTCTTTAAAGTTATCAGATTGATTATAAAATTAAAAAATTTGGATTATTTTGTAAATAATTATCGCTAGATTTACGATTTTTCTTACAATGAGAGCTATCGAGCGCAGGGAGATCGTCGCTGATCATTAGTGTAGTGTTGAATAACGATAAGTGAATTATTTGTTCTTATAACGTGGAAAATTGTTTTACGAATTTTCCAAAAAAATATTAGTATTAACGAAATTCGCTAAATTTTAGAGGATTTTATTCTTACAGCCTCAAGAGGAACAGCCTCTGAAAAATTAAGAGAAAAATATACACAATATTTTTTCGTCTTGCATCTGCAGTACAAATCTTGCTGTTCTTAATAACAATTTCTTTTTGCATACAGATTATATAACATTGTTTTAAGAGATGTTTAAGAGATTTATATAAATGGTTAATCTTCAAGTTTAATAATTTTCTTGTTAAAATACTATTAATTTAACATTGCATTTCAAAAGGAGTAAAAACGTATGTTTCAGAAGCTCAGGAGGTATTATGGAGGAACTTTAAAGTTTCTAGGAGACTTTCCAATTCGATTTGTATATGCCTTCTTATAAAATTTGTGAATCTCTTTCTTACGAGTAGAGTCCATCTCGTGCTGCGTACTTAGCTCTTAAGTCTGATCTACTAGCCCAATCTACATAAGATGCAGAACGCGGATTACGCGAGTCGCAGGAGTCACAAAACTAGAAATTAACCTAACGTATTTTAATTATAATAGGTTGCAGGATGCAGTACGCAGGACGCAGGAAGTTGGTTGAACTTCAACTTTCACGTCCTGTGTCTTGCGTTCTATGTATTGCGGTCTGCGACTTATTATGTGGGATCTACAATAGAAGTCGTAAAGTCTTAAGTCGTAGAAAATTGATCAATCATAGTCAATTATTCTTCTCACATTCATCTGATTGATTAATTTTCTACGACTTAAGACTCTACAACCGCTATTTCTGTTGTAAACCCTGTATTAAGCATCGTCTACACTGAATAGTAGCAGTAGCAGGCTAGACACGTCGGGAGAAAGCTGATTTTCCGGTCCAGTCAGAAATGGTTGAATGATTAACGTCAAATCAATGTTAATTCACTATTGATCGACGTTAATTTGATATTGATCGATCAATCTCTTGTAGATGGGGATGTAACAGGGCGTAGAATAAGTCTGTAGATTTCAACTATTTCGCTAGAGGACTTTACTCTTCATTTATAGACGCTCATGCATCCACTTTTTTATAGATGCATTTTTTATATATGCTCTATGTAAGACTTTTTGCTTAGAGAAAATGCTAAAAGGAATTCGATCTTGATATGTCAAGGTGAAGGTGATTGAAGCTCTGATTCTCTAATACTAAATATTTATTATCATTTTTTTATTTATAACGTGATAATATGTGCGCCCCGATGTCTTTTTTTCAGACACAGCTGAATCGATTGATCGGATCGATGAAAGGAATCGAACAGATTTACGAATGAAGTTGAATAAAAACGCGGTGGACAAGGAGGAGGAGGACGAAGAAGAAAAACACAAGATAAAAGTCATTCATCCAATATCATCAGACAAACGAACAAGAACATTAACATTAATGCTACGAAAGATAACTGCTTTGCAATCGCGTTGGTGATCGACAATTTGAACTTGTCGTCACTTCGTGTGTCCGATGCTGAACGAAAGACTCGAGGCGGACAATACATTGGCGGACGGGGAACGTAATGTTAATGCCGTGGTTACCGGTCCGACGTTTTCATCGTTATCGTCGTCGTGTACAGTGCCCTATATCGGCACCGATCAGGACTACGTGTTCGAAGGTGGCGGTATGTCGATGTTGCAGCAGCTTGGTGCAGGCGGTCGCGGAAACACCGATTGTATTACTGGCGGAGGAGATCTCGGGTTCAATGCATCGATAGGAGGATCGGGGACTGGATTAGGTGGTGGGATAGGATTCGGTGGAATCGGTACTGAAGGAACTGCGGGAGGAATTGCAGTAATGGGTGGAAGAGGAGGAGGAGTAGGAGGAGGAGGAGTAGGAGTAGGAGCAAGTGGTGGAAACATGAATAAGGAAGTTCGTTACGCTCCATTCGTGTCATCTGTAGGTCCAATCAGTACCGTAGCCCCAATAAACCTGCAATCTTTACCGCCTCCGCCGCCACCTCCACCACCGCCTCCACCGCCGCCGCCACCGCCATCGCCGCCACCACCGCCACCACCCCTGCCGCTGCAGATGCAGCAGCGTGCCTTTTCCAAGTCGATGACATCCCTACCACCGGAGCCGTTCATGATTATGCGTTCGAAGGCTTTAAATCGGCGCGTTTCAATTAATGTTGGTGGCGTGAAGCATGAGGTACTCTGGCGTACTCTCGAGCGGTTGCCACATACGCGCCTAGGTCGACTAAGAGACTGCAATACCCATGAGGCAATAACTGAACTCTGCGACGATTATTCTCTAATCGACAATGAATATTTTTTCGATCGACATCCTAAATCATTTAGTTCAATTCTTAATTTCTATCGTACTGGCAAGCTTCATCTAGTAGATGAGATGTGCGTGTTGGCGTTTAGTGATGATCTCGCATATTGGGGTGTTGACGAGCTCTATCTTGAAAGTTGCTGTCAGCACAAGTATCACCAGCGTAAGGAGCACGTACACGAGGAAATGCGTAAGGAGGCAGAGTCACTTCGACAACGTGAAGAAGAAGAATTCGGTGAGGGAAAGTGCGCTCAATATCAGAAATGGTTATGGGATCTTTTGGAGAAACCAACCACCTCCATTGCGGCACGGGTGAGTCGGATTGTGGCTTGAAATTCGATTTGTGCGTGTATGAGTATGCGACAGAAGACAATGCACACGAGAAACGTCGCGCATCGTCACCTGCTCTATCGTGTATGCATTTAGACAGGATGTCTTATTGTTAGTCGAAATGGAAAGCAGTAGTATGAATATATGAGTTGTCAGTTATTTTTTCTTTTATAATTCCTGACTTCCTATTATTTCTATTATTGTTCTTTTTGTGTTGCTTTTGATTTTATCTTACATTATTTCACATTTGCTTGATGTTGATTACTTTCTCATTCTCAGTAGGGTATAGTATGTAATCACACAAATGTGACGTAATGTTGTATAAATAATTAATATTTAATCATATAAATAATTAATACATCCGAATATTATTTTTTTTATATAACTACAACAATTTTTATGTTAACTATAATTTAAAGAAGAAATTTATTTTATAATTTAAGATAATTAATATTTAAGATAATTGAAGTTAGGAAGTATTTTAAGAAAAAACAAATATCGTTAAATCATTAGATATCAAAGTATATTAGAAAACTTCTAATATTCATATTGAACCAATTTTCATGGAACATCTTGTCATAAATCACGATTTATCATGAGAAAACAATTTTGAATTTGAACCTTAAATTGAATCGTTAGAACAAAGATTCACGGAATTCGATACTGAATTAGTTTAAATTATTAAAGATAACTAATCAAATCATTAAAAATATCATTATTTAAGTATTTATACAATGTATACGAGTGATACTAAAAATACATTAAAAATATCAATAAAATTTCAAATCTAATTAGTAGCTATTTAAATGTTTATCTTTAATTTATTAAAAGTTTATGGAAAATCATTATTTTGGCAGTGTTTCAAATTTACTGCCAACGTTGAAAAACTATAGTTTACGTTACGTGCATTATAGATTTTCAATACTAGCAATTTTGGAACAGAATCTTTGTATGTGTGAGAAATATTATATTTTCGTATTACATCTAACTTTCTCTGACTGAATTCTATTCAATGTATTCTATCTCTATCTGAGAAACATTGAAAAATTACAAAACAGTGAAATTATTTATATGTTTGGCACAATGGTATTTTTCAATATTTGGACTGATTGCATCGACGATCTTAATTATCTGATAATAATCTAATTAAAAAATTAATTCGTTGAAATTATCGTTATTGATAAATGTATTGTGTGATATAATACTATAAATAATATATAAATTTCATGTTTGTATCTTTCTAACATCTTATAAATTTATTGTTTATATATATTTATGTTATTCTACTATTTTACTTACAAAGAAAGGTTCCCGAGTGTTCCCTCCGATTTTAATGCAATTTGTTGGATTTGTACTGTGTTTGTATAGGAGGTAAAATATTCGAGTTTTTTTCTTATCAATAATGTTTAAGGAAGAAATTAGCCTGTAGTTTCGTTTTTTGGCTTAATTTCTAAATGAAGTATAATAATATAATTTCGTAAGTATACAAAATATGCTCCCCTCCCCCTCTCCGTGAATAGGTAGAGCGGATTCGACTGACAATGAATCGGAATTTATCATTTTACAATTTTCGTAATACTTTAGGATATATTAATTTCTAAAGATGATTGAATAAGAGAGCACGTATCTGTGCGGACTACTGCCAAGTGCATGTCCATCAGTCATGGTCGCTTGTTGCGCGGGGAGTTGGGATTACATGATAGGTGCGTCCATCAGGCAATCCTCACACGACACAAATCTAGATGGATGTGCCTTCGAGATTTCAAGGTGATCTTTATTTTTTTGAATGGAATTATATAGTTTTTTCTTTATATAATATGATTTTCCTCTAATTATTCTGCACATAAAAGAGTAAGATAGACCTAAAAAAATCAATAGTTTACGGAATATTTTATACTTTATCGTGACATATATTGACATGAAATATTAAAAATCTCGTAAATTAATAATTTTTTGATAATCGTTAATATTTTTACAAATAGAATAATGAAATGAATTAACTGATATAAAAAAAGACATATAACTGTTTATTTAAAAAACAATCCATTTTGCCTTTTTAAAATAACCATTTTCTTTACATCGTATATTATTCAAAAATTATAGCCGAGAAACGAATTTGACCGATTTTCGAGGACCGATTTTATAACATGTTTAGTTGCCGATAAAGAAACATGTATCGAATATTTTTATCCTCTCTATAAATCTACCAAGTTTCGTTAAAATCGAAGAGGGACATACTTAGAAATCTTTCCTTTAGTTAGTTTGACAAATGTGACATTATATATTACTATTTTATATATTTTATGTACAATTAGTTTGATAGCAATAATAATTGATAATTGAATTTTTTAGAAGACATTATGTTTGTTTTGTGATTTTTTTTTACTGTTAGAAGTATTAAAAATATTTTATTTTGTGAATTATTTGTTTTTTTTTTAATACATAAGCTGTAAATATGTTATACTTTTGTATATTTTTTAAATGTATATTTAGTTATAATAAAACGTTTTCTTTGAATTGATATATATAGTTGATATTGATACTATAGTTTTCGATTTGTATTGTCTCGAATTAAAAATGGTGAATTGGGGTTAGTTGTTATACCTCGATCGAGAAAGATTGTTACGATGTAACAATTAAACTTTTAGATATACCATCCCTGAAATGCATACACTCCTCAGGTAGCTCCTAGTCATCGTCGTATGAGGTGCCCAAATATATAATAAAAAAAACCAGGGTTAAAGTATAACTATACCCGTTCAAATGCAACCTTCTGGGAGCCCTGATCTTTCTTTTCTTTTGGTCTTTCCGGCTCGACATTAAGCGTGATCTCGCACTTTGCGATGGCGAAGGGGCGCTGCGATGCCATAACAATCCTGCCACATAACAATATATATATATATATTTTATTTCGAGTTTTATAATAATATTCCATAAATTCGCAAAAACATATTATATACATTTATATATAACACATAAATTTGCTATGGTTATAATCATGTTTCGGGAAATATATCGGGTAGTATATTATTTGGTAAAACTATGAGAAAGAGAAAATCCAGTTTCAATAAGTTTTAATTACGGTATGTATTATTACGACTCAGAATAACTTTCATAAACTATTATACATTATTCACTAAAATATTATGTCTATTATTAATAAAAAAAGTAAAGTATTATTAAATCCTACTTTAACAATAATACAGGCATGTCAAGTTTAAAATCGAAATCGATGAAACTGAGTCTTCTTTTAAGCAATTACTTGACTAGAAATGCAAAATAGAAATGTTTGATTTAAATTCTTTCAAAAACTTAGTTAGATTTGTATAGTTATTTTTATTGTATAGTATTGAATAAATATGATGATTTATTAACACAATATATTACAGTGCACGAAAGAAAAGTTAAACTAAGTTATATTGATGCAGTCGGTTCTTAATTATTAAATTGTAAGGTTGATGACGTGATTTTTTTATCATGGCATATTAGATGATTCGCGACGTTTCCTCTCTCATACAAAACTTTCCTTACATCCGTCTCAGAAGAAAACTCGTATTATTAATTTTTTTGGTTAATTGACCTTGTATTTATTTATTGCGCATTTATTCTGGCTTTTTGCACGCGTATTAATAAGGATCCAAGTCGAATAATTTCATGTAACACGTATACATAAGGACTCAGAATTGAAACATTTTGGACATGAGCCAAATTCATTAATTGCCACATTTAAATTCTTATTTAATACTTTTAAACGGACTTTTGTTTTGCATTAATCGATATATTCACGCTTGCAGTTTTTGTTGCAGGAGTGAATCTTTATTAACTTTACAAACAAAGATATTATTAGATCGATATTGCATTGATTCAATGTAAATCGCATATAGGTGAACAGATTAGAAAGAACATATAACTTTTAATTCAATTTTATTTTAAATTATATCATGAGGAATTATACTCAATCGATAAATCGTAATCGATTTTGCTGACTTTTTGAAACATTTATAAATTTTATTGCAAATAAATAGTCTAACAAAAATTTTGAATTGCTTAATATTGTATATTTTTGCATTTTATAAATTTTTATAATAATACTTGTTAAAGTATTAGGTGTTGGAATTAATTCGTAGCGTTTTACAAGTGATGGGAAGTACTTTCATTAATGTATTTTTTAATGCTCATGTGAAATAAATAACATTCTTTCATTAAAAACGCTACGAATTAATTCCAACACCTAATATTTTTATTAATATTATGTTTATCAGACAAGAGCCAAGTATAACATTAATCATTAACATGATGTACGTATTTACAATGATATATGAACATTTGATAATAAATATATGATCTTAATGTATATAATGATATAGGAGAATGTATAATTTTTTTATTGTAATTATTAAAAATATATAAAAAGCGACACACAATGAAAAGAATGGCATGCTTAAAGTTGCAATAGATAGTCAATAATTCAAACATATTTTTAAAAATGTACTTAATACAAATATAAATAAGAAAAACTTGAAAACTTAAATAAGTTTAAAATTTGTGTACTTTTAATTGCATTATAGTTATTAATCTGATATATGTTCATTTCTGATCATGCCTGTTTTATTGAGAAAAATGTTTTAAAACATTATTTAATTATTTGATTAAATATGAGTAGAAAGACAAAAAAACTTTTAAAGGATTATTCTAAGAAAATAATTTCTATGTAACCATGCAGCAAAATCGAATTTGCGTGAATCGATCGAGTGTAGTTCGTAAGTCATAAAAAATATATCAATTTATTTACGTTCTATTTAGTTTTAGCATGCTGATTAGCATCATAGTGTTTTACTTTAGTATTGATATTTTACTTTTATCTAAATTATTTTATATAATATGTTCGTTGTTATTTTAGTGTAAATATATAGGCACTGTAGTTTTGTAAATTTTTCAAAAATATTTTAATATTTATTATATTTTATATATTTATATATTTT